CCGGCACCTGGACGGGGCAGGAGTGTCAAGCCAGAAGCTGAAACTCAGGAACAGCTGGGCTGGGGAGTAGATGAGGTGGCAAGAATCTGGGCCTGGGATCTGGCGGGGGGTGGCGGGGAGCACGTCTAGACTCAGGGATCAGCAGATCTGGAGGGCGTCTGGAACCCAGGAAGAGCTGAGGCCTGGAAGGGCCTGGTCTCCACCAGGAGCTAGGGGTGTGGGAAAAATCTAGATTCCGAAAGCAGCAGGGCGGAGTCCGGAGTCCCGGGCTGTGGGAACACTCGGGGTCAGCCGGGAGCAAGGGTCTGGGATGAGCTGGTCTCTGGGAGGAACTGAGGACCGAGGAGGGGCCGAATGTGGGGAAACAGAGGAAGCTTCTGAGGCCTGGACGAATCTGGAAGGAGTAGATTGGACTTGTAGAGAATCTGAAAGGACTAGTGAGAGCTTGGGGAGCATCTGGACTTAATATCTAGAGAGAGTTGATGAGGCCTGAGGGATGTCTGGAAGGAATAGCTGAGGACCGAGGAGTATCTAGAGGGAGTAGCTGTGACTTGGGGAGGACCTGGGTGGCTGCACCTGGGACCCTGTTCTACCCAGCCCCCACTGCCCACCCTGCCCGCAGGGGACACGCTGATCGATGGCGGGGAACATTACTGGGAGGTGCGCTACGAGCCGGACAGCAAGGCGTTCGGCGTGGGCGTGGCGTACCGCAGCCTGGGCCGCTTCGAGCAGCTGGGCAAGACGGCCGCGTCCTGGTGCCTGCACGTCAACAACTGGCTGCAGGTCAGCTTCACCGCCAAGCACGCCAACAAGGCCAAGGCGCTGGAAGCCCCCGTGCCTGACTGCCTGGGCGTGCACTGCGACTTCCACCAAGGTGACCCTGGGCCCCCGATGGCACCTCCAGCCGCCTCTGCCTGTCCTGTGCCTCTGCTGCAAACCCGCTTATCCATCCCCTGTCGCTCTGCCCCCCTCCAGGCCTCCTGTCCTTCTACAATGCCCGTACCAAACAGCTGCTGCACACCTTCAAGGCCAAGTTCACGCAGCCACTGCTGCCAGCCTTCACGGTGAGGGCCCCTCCCCGGCCCAGGGCAGGCGGGGGTGGCCCTGGGTGCTGGCTTCCCTGCTGAGCCTTTTCTGTCCCCTCCCTGTCCCCCAGGTGTGGTGTGGCAGCTTCCAGGTGACGACAGGACTGCAGGTCCCCAGCTCTGTGCGCTGCCTGCAGAAGCGTGGCAGTGCCACCAGCAGCTCCAACACCAGCCTCACCTAGGCCGGAGGACTGTCCACGTAGCCGGGCTGATTTTGGGGGCTGCCGCCAGGCTTCGGCTGTTGCAGCCGGGCACCCTCTTCTAACTTGCTGCTTGGAGCCTTAACTCCTAACGGGGGTCACCAACAGGGAGCGGGCGCTAGGGCGAGCCCTCTTCCCGACCTCACATCCCAATAAAGGTCAAACACTGGCCAGGCCGTGCTGCTGCTGCTGTGCCCTGGCCCTCTCTGGACCTCAGCTTTCCCAGCTGTAAAATGGGCTTTTCTGGCAAAGTCAGGTGGCAGTTTTTGCTGAGCTGAGTGAGGATCTCTGGGACCAAATGGGGGGCTAGCTGTGGGCAGACATCCGATGGACCCCCTCACTGTCATCCAAAGCCAAGTCAAACACATTGGCCTTGAGGTCACTTGAGCTTTAATTCTTGGAGGAGGGGTCCACCTGGCTGACGCGCTGTGCTCCGAGACCGACCCGCTGGTCCTCAGCGAGCCCGGCGGAGTGCTCCCGTGCCCGCCGCCTCTGCAGTTTCTCTTCCAGCTCCGCTGTCACATCAGCCAGCCCTGGGGGGTGGGGGTGGGAACGTGAGGCCTCAGCTGCACCAGGGACCCCCCAGTCTATGCTGCCCCCACATCCTCCCAGGACCTGCTGCAGAAGGCCGGGGCCCAGTACCAGATGAAAGGAGACAGCAGAACATCAAACCAAGTGTGGACTCTTCAGAGGGCGGGGCCCTGTGTGACCACACGGACCGCCGGCCTGCGAAGCCCTCCACCGCCCCCTTCCCACCCCTTACCTGTTGTGGGGAGGAACACCAGCTTCCTCGCCAGGCCTCTGCTAAGGCCTTTGGGCTCTGGGGGAGAAGGCAGGTGGAGGCTGAGGCTAGCCCTCCGCCTCAGGATGAGGGAGGGGCTGGGGAGGACGGTCCCCTACCTGGCTTGGGCGCAATGGGTGGCTTTGGAGGCTTTGCCTGAACCTTTGGGGCTAGGTGACACTTCTTGGGCTTCTGGATGACCAGCCGACCAGGGGAAGGCACTGCATGGACAAACACGGCCTGTCACATCAAGCCGTGAGCCTGTTCCCTTGCCCCTTAGCCACCCCCAGGTCCCCACCCACCGTCCCCGTTCACGTAGTCAGCAGCTGGGGCGTCGCTGATGGGGATCACGTAGTTCTCATCTGGGTTCGGTAGCTGCGGCAGCTTGTCCTGGCTGGACACGGGCGTGATGGATGTGGGAGGTGGTTGCTTGGGGCCATCGGTGGGGGGCGTGGGACCTGATGGGAAACAGTAGTCACTTTTGGGACTTGACTGGTGCAGGACAAGTCGGGGCAGGTCTGTGTGCCTCCGTGATCAGGGATACAGGCACGTGTCCCTGAGCATGTGTATCTGTGTACAGGCCATTTATTTTAAGTCTGTGTTCCTGCGTAGCATAAACATGTATACGGAGTGAGTCTGCATACATTGAACATACGTGGATATATGCATGACACTGCGTGGATCAGTTCTGTGCTGGGTACTTGTCTCTTCGTGTGTGCATGCACGTGTCTATAAATGTCTGAAGTTGTGCTGTGAGTAGATATGTCTGCATCTGTGTGTGTACACGTGACTGTGGCTTAACGTATGTGTACGCATGCTCAACGGGACTGGCGTCCTCTGACCCATGTATTCATGATGTGTGGATCCGCTGGCTACATGGGTGTCTACATGTGAGCTTCTGATGATGCAGGTGGACACAGTCCACGCTGGTGAGTGTGGCATGTGTGTACGTATGTGTACATACAGGTGCTGTGCACCTGGGCCTCCAGCTCCTGCCCTCCCACTCCCTAAGGTGGACTGCCTCCCGTCCCCTTCTCTACACCCACCACGATTCCCCATCCCTGCCCCCTCTGCCCACTCTACCTCCCGAAATCCTGAGACCTTCCCCAAACACCCCCTCCTCCAGTATGCCTTCCCCCTACTCTGCCCTCTCTTCTCCCCAACTCTAGGCTCCGCCCCAGGCTCAGGTTTGACCCCACAGGGCTGGGAGTATCTGTGTCCAGCTGTGTCCAGCTGTGTCCATTCCCTCCACCACCTGGAAGTCCCCAGAAAGAGGGGTCTGGGTAATTTCTAGGCCCTACAACTGTGGGTACAAGATTGGGTACAGGAGGCACCATGTGGGTCCTAGGTCTCGCTCCTCTCTGCCCCGGCGGCCGCAGAGGGGAGAAGGCGTCACCTGGACCGGGGACCGCGGGGACCGAGGGTGCCACCCATACACTCTCGCCGTTCTCTTTATCCGCCTCCACGTAGCCTAGAACAGAGAGGGCTGCCTGGAGGAGGCGCAGTGGCCGGGGGCTGACCCAAGGGTATCTCCGTCGGGGCGGGGGCAGGAAAGGCACGGACTGGATCCCCCGAATTCCCGAAGGCTTCACCCACCTAGCACCTTCTCGTAGTCCTCGTCCAGCAGGAAAGGCAACAGCGCGTTCTTGGTATGCGATACGAAATAGCTGACCACTGCGTGGAGTGAGGCGCACGAGAACTGGGGATGGATAGGGGGCCGGGTCAGCGCTGTTGGGAAAGGGGCGCGGACCCCACCACTGTGCTTCCCGAGACCCCGACCCAAAACTCACCGGCTCTTCCACGTCGATCACATACTTAGGGCCCTCGCGCTTCACCTTGTAGTGCCGGACCACCGGCGTCCTGCACAGGCAGTGGGCAGGTGAGTGGCCTGGCTCCGGCCAGGGACGACCCCCGCACGTCGTCCTGTCTCCGCCCCCATGGAGAGCCTAAGGCCCCCTCCTCCTCCGGGCACACCGGCCACGCCCCGTCCCGGTGTGGCTCTCAGGGTGGACCTGGCCCTCGACTGACTCCATCCCCAGGAGACCCCGCAGGCCCCTAGTCCTGGCTCTGCATCCTGGGAGGACCCTGCCCCATGGACCCCGTGCCCAGGAAAGACCCCACCCTTCCTCCTTGCCCCGCCCCAGGTTCTGACCCCACCCATAACCCTGCTCCGGGGCGGGGCCAGCCTCAAGGATCCCACACCCCGTGACCTCTGGCCCTACACCCAAGTCCTCCCCTGTCCCAGGATCCGGCTGCGCCCCCACATCTGACCACGCCCCCACGCAGCCCCCCGTCGACACGCCCGGGTCTGGAGTCGCGCACGCGCACCCGTTGAGCGTCTGGCGCGTGGTGACAGACACTCCGCCCATGCCATCTCCGCTGGGCCGCAGCAGCAAGTTCCCGCTTTCGGGGTAGCGCTCCAGGAGCAGTTGCGCCTCCAGCCGGCTCACCTTCAAGAAGCACCTGGGGCGGGCCGCGTCACTCACTGGACAGGCGCCGTTCCCCAGAGACCCAGAACGCTCTCCCGTACGGAACCCCGGCCCTGGACACTCAGCTCCGCCCCACCTCATAACCCCGCCCAGGCCACGCCTTCCAGACACCTAGACCCGCCCCCAAGCACCTAGGACCGCCTCTAGAAGCCCGACCTCATACCCTAGGCCCAGACTCTGCTCCCGGAGACCTTGCTCTTCCTCTAGGTCCAGGTTCTGTCTCCGGGGGCTGAGTCCAGTCCCCTGGAGGCCCAGGCCCGCCCCCAGGCACCGCCCCCAGGCACCTACACCTGTCCCCAAACGCCAAGCCGGCTCTCAGCTAATCCCCGCCCCAGCCCGGATGCAGCTCTGTTCTCAACTTAAGACCCAACAGCGAGAGACCCCACTCACAGCCCAACCTCATCCCCACGCCCCGCTTCCTGCAGCCCCTCGGGCCAGGCGGGGCACTCACGAGGGCATCTCGAGTGCGCGGCGCGCCTCCTCTTTGGCCAGGGCCTCGGCCATCATGTAGAGATGTCCAGGTAGCAGGGTCAAGTTGGATGGGACACGGAGCTGAGGAACAATAGGGGCGTCAGGGAACGGGCAGCTGTGCCCACGTCACAGAGAGGCAAACTGAGGCCAGAGTACAGATGGAGCCAGGGTGGACACCGGGTCTGGGGGCTCCAGAGCCACCCTACACCTCCAGGGGCACAGAGGTGTTCCAGAGGATGCAGAGAGAGAGAATTCCGTGACTGGGAGGAGGACCGAGCAGATGCTAGAATGTAGTCTCAAACTCAGGGCTCGGGCAGGGAACAAATGAGTAACATAAATCAGGAATGTTGACTAAAAACCCTGTTTTTTTAAGTGATGGCAGCTAACTTTAAAATGTTTAGTTTTGTTAACAAAACAAACGATGTTTATGGGCTACATTTGGCCCGTAGGCTGCTAGTTCGAGACCAGTGTGCTATCCTCTAGGGGCTTGTTTGGGGACCGAAGGAGGGAAAGAAGAAGATTTCTGAATGGGAGAGAGAGGGGCAGGGGGAGACCACTCTGACCTCCACCACCGTGAGGATGAAGCCTTTCCACATCTCCCGAGACTCCAGGCTCTCTACCTAGGGAGGGA